GCCAGTAATGAGTGGTGAGACGGTAGGAGCGGAGGCGGACGGCAGCGCACAGCGTGGAATCTTGCATCCACACCGACAACTTCATGCTGATATGGGCGCTGTCCTAAAACCGCTGTTTGTAAGTTTATACAAACCTGAAGTCGACTCGACCATATAAAGTATGCAATCAGTGCAAAACCCTGCGCGAAAGCGCCGCGAAAGAGATGCGAAAGGGATCTGCTTATTAGTGAGTTGTATTGCATGTTGCGTTAGTTTATACACATACTGTCTTCGAAGAGCTGCCGTGCAGTATTTGAGAGGATTCCAGCCAAACCGATGTCATTACTCTAGGACACGGTCCTAGGGTCGTGTTGGGTGTTGGAGGGGAAAAGGCTCTGCAAAAGCAAAACAGCTCTAGGACACCGTCCTAGGGTCGTTTTGTGCATTGGTGGGGGAAAGATCTCTGCACAAGAAAGGTTGTTTTTGCTGAGCCTTGAACAGCTGCTACACTTGGTTTCGCGACCCTTCTAGTACCCATATTGCCTGTTTAAGGGACCCCTTTTAAACCAGTATTCCTTGCCTGCAAACCCTTCTAGAGCTGTAAAGCCCTAAGGAGTGAATCCAGCAGGAACTTTAACCCACTAATTAAGGAGTGAATACCAAGACGAGAATCCTAAGGAGTGAATACCCAAGGCGACAACCCTAAGGATTGAATCCAACAGGAACCTTATCCCGAAGACGAAAACCCTAAGGAGTGAATTTCCAAGAAGAGAACCGTAAACAGTGAATCCAGCAGGAACCTTCTCCCGCAAACGGAAACCCTAAAGAGTGCATCCAACAGGAACCGTTGATCGAAGACGAAGACTCTGAGCAGTGAATCCAGCAGGAAATTTCTACCCAAGACGAAAACCCAAAGGGTTGAATCCAGCAGGAACCCTTGACCGAAACAATGATTACGCCATTAACAGTTAGTGGCTTGGTGCTAAAGACACCAAAAAGTTATAATTAAGATGCCTGTTTTGCAACCCTCTGCAGAGATTTGCTGTTTTCGGAGCCCTAAAATAGTTACAACTAAGTCATTTTGCTGAAACAGCTGAAAGTTCCATTTGAGAGAGAAAAAGTTACAACTACGTGTTCTACCCCCGCCTCACTGCTTACCACAATGAGGGGCGGGATGCTTTGCACACAGCTACGAGTTTCAGAAAGTAATCGAGGGTCGGCCCGGATCATGTATGTTGAAACCCGCAAGGACCAGCCCGTCGTGTCGGCAGAGAACCCGGTCCCAGGCAGGAAAGTCCCGAAGACGGAAAGTCTTCCAAATCTCTGACCTGAACGAAATGAACTCCAGCAGTCAAGCTGTAGACGCTACATCCGAAGAAGCCTTCGCCCACGGCATATACATCCTAAACCTTGAGACCCGAACCGGAAGAACCCTCGATCCGGATTCTGCCTCGTGTTTTGTTTGCTGGGTTTGCCACGTTTGGGTTTTCGGGGCTCGAAGCTGCAAACTTTTTGCTTGGAGGATCGAATATAGCTTCGAGATCGCTTTGTGTGTTTGAGTGTGTGTTTGTTACGTTTTCGAGGGGATGGGGACAGAGCGTTCGGGCCTTCGACTTTCGGTTACTTGCATGCAGGTGTATGGGTGATAGATCCTGGTACTATTAGATACTATTCAGCAAGGTAGCTCAGCAGGCTTATGCCCGAGATTCCCATCATGATCCTGCGATATCAGCTGGAAGAATGGTTAAAAACACTGATCCACTGAATAAATCCTCAACCCTGAACCCTAAATCATATTGATTCCTTCAATAAACCGTAAACCTAAAACCCCAAATCAGCAGTAGGTGATGTGTTGAGCATCAGGGTACAATCCTACGTCCCTGGGATCAAGGTCGGCGAATTCCAGCAACCAGGGCGAGGGTTTAGCTTTGAGGGTTTGGGGTTTAAGGCTCAGGGTTTTGGGTTCAGGGCTTCGGGTTTAACGTTTAGGAGGTTCAGGTTTCGGGCTTCCGGGCCGAAGTGCGTAGGGACCCAGGCTACGGAGTTTTGGGGGTATAGGGGTACTTACCCATAGGCTCCATAGTAGTTCCTTTTTGTGCTTTATATTTAGGATCCAACTACTATGGAGCCTGTGGGTAAGCTTGGCAAAAGCGGCTTTGCGCCGGAAGCCCCGGAAGTCAAGAGAAATTGGGACTACTATAGGGGACCTTAAGGGACTACCATAGGGATCCATTCCCCCATTCCCTACTAAGAACCAGGCGTGTGGTCGGCTGACCGAAGCTCAGGACGGCAGCCACGGCTGCTGGAACCTGAGGCCCCAAGTCCCTGAACATCGAGACTCTCTCTCTTCGTTCCCCAATAATTACCCCCAACCTTTAAACTTTTTGGGCTCTTATATTATAATTTAATAGTAGTCTGAAAATATAACCTTTTCTTTCCTTGGCTTATTAGGGAAGTACGTACGCTCTCAAAGGGTCTCAACGTGAAGGCTTTCCACCCCAAGACGTAGATCCTACAGTAAAACTTAAGCTCCAAACCATTGGCCCGATGTCCTGAACCCCGAACCGTGTGTTCGCAGGCGTCTGGCTCTGGCGCCAAGCAAACTTTGGACCTCACTGGCATTGGACACAGGCCCCAAACATGACTCTGGGATGTTTTTTCCGGGTTCGGGATCGCATTTGGCGTTGAAGGAAGAGTTTTCAAGAGGTCCTTAGCCACGTTGTGTGCAATTTGTTGATGCATCGTGTTATGGGTTCACAGGGTTTCATAACCTGGGTTTGTAGCTGAGTAGTCGTACAAGCTATTCCCACTATTGCCTCCCACACACTCCTCAAAGTAGCCTCCAAGACTCGGATGTCCTGTTGCACTTTTGAGACTGCCACTCGTGGTTCTTTGAGATATCTTCACTAGCTAAGTGCTAACGGCCCTTGGAAGCCCTCAAGGCCCCGAGAAGCCCCAGATCCCTAAGAGACTCTCCACTTCAGAACTCTCTGGGGCCGGTTTAGGGATTCGGGCTGCCTTCACCTTGAGAGGTGTGCCGTCTAGATTAGGATGTCTCCCCTCCTGGAGCGCATCTAAGAGTCTTTACATGTGGGTCTAGGTGCTTCAAGTTAGACGTCTCAGATAGATAGAGCTTCTGAACCACCGGTCGTCCAAGTGACCCAAAGCCTCAAAGCCCTCACGGTCCCAAAAGCGCTTGCAACCCTAAATTCCTCTTCAATCCCCCCGAAACCCTAAACTCAAAAACCCGTGAACCCTAAGACCAAAAGCTTTAACATGGGGGTGGCATAGCTTCCCTAAACCTCCCCTCTACCCCCCTAGGAGTCCCGTTTAAGGTTTAGGGTTTAGGGTCTAGAGGGGCTAGGCAAATGCTTGCGGAATTCCCAAGCTCCCTAAACCCTGAAACCCTAAACACCTAAACCCCAAAATGCTTGCGGAATTCCCCAAGTTTCCTCTGCAGGCTCCTCTGCTCTCGGAGCAAGTCGTTCAGCGGAACGCCTTCGTTTTCCAGGACTGCCCCAAAGGGTCCAAGTACCATTATAGTAGGTCCTTAAGGGGTGTTTGGGCCCCAAAAGTATATACTATATCTAAACCCTAAACCCTAAACCCTCAATACTATATGCTATTACTTGGACCCTTTGGGTGCCTTGGCCCAGGGATGATGCTTCGACGCTGGGGGTCTTCTGTTGAGAATAAGGAGGGCTAGAGCTTTGCAGGGTTTCGTGCGCCGAAAGGAATCTGCCCTAAGTTTAAATCAGTTTAAAGCAACTGAATTCACAACAAACAAAGTAATTGCAAACAGCCAAATGTAACACAGTACCAGCGTTGTAAGGCCCTGATCTTACGGATGTTGGGATTATGAGGGCCCTCCGGTCTTCCAAGCTGTCTGGGTTGGGGTTTGGCTTGAGGCCAACGTTGGGCTTGGGCAGCTTTTTTCCGTAGGAGTTTGGGGTTTTGGATTTTGGGGTTGAGGGTCAGGGCTTATAGGGCTTTTCGGGTTTATAGGGTTCAGGGCTTTTTGGGTTTATCGGGTTTAGGGCTTATAGAGTTTAGGGCTTGGGGTTTAAAGGTCTAGGGTTTGGGTTCTTCGGTTCCAGGACACTTCGCGTGTTGGTGTGCGAGGGATGGATAGGCTGGCAATTCCCGAACAACCCAGTGCCGCAGCATGAAGCAATACGCTTAAGGCTTAAGTCATCAGATTATTCATAGGAAATGCAGCGTACATGGTTTGGGTGTTTGATAGTACCCATAGGCTCCATAGTGGTTCCTTTTTGGGATTACCTTTTAGGATCCCAAATATGAACAACAAACAGGAACTACTGTGGAGCCTATGAGTATGGGACCATGACTACAACGTGTAGCTCCGAGACAGTTGAGTGCGAACTCGCACACTCACCTCGGACATCTAGCTCGGAGTCTATTTAGCGACCGAGTTGTCAGGGATTAGTAGGGAGGAGTAGGGATGAGGCTCTTGAGTTTGGCTGGTTAGTTGGGTGATGAGCTTGCAAGGCTTCGGGTTTTACATGTGGAAAGTTTGAAGAACAGTGTTTCTGAAGGGGGGTTCAAGGTCCAAACCGCAAAGCTCGGACCCTCGACTACGACGCCTCAGCCAGGAGTATGCTGCATGGGTGAGGTGGCTAGAAACGCATTGAGTTGGCATCCAGCTGGGCAAAAAGCAACTCCTCCTGGGCTTCTGGTAGGAAGAGAGAACATGAACAAGGCCTAGCCTCAAGATGTCGGCATGCGTGAAACCATCAGTTGCAGGTCTAACCATGTGCACGCCGCTGCCGCAGCTTTGCTTTCACATGTTGCTTTGCGCTGCGAAGGGTTTGGGATACAGTGGACTCCACCTGTGCCCAATGGCACTTTCCCCTTTGGTTCATTCGCTAATTTGTAGGTTTAGAGTTTCCAGCGCTGCTGTTGCATATGCTTCCGGCGGAGCGATACTTGTCCTCGCTGGCTTCGTGCCCTGGAGTTACTAGCTTAAGCACTATAGCATCCTCAAACCTCCACTGGGCGCCATGGCGGCAACAGCTTGGCTGCCAATTTCTCGTGGCGATGTCCTCCCGGAGAATGCCCTGGCTGTCGGGACGTATGGTGTCGATGGCATGGTCTACGTGCCCTTGTCTGAATCTTCACTGTGCGGGTTCAGAGCCTCAGAGTTTCAGGTTGTCGGGATTCGTAGTGGGATTCGACTATGACGATGACGATTATTCTGACGACTTTTGGTACAATTACTGTAAAATTCGCTATTACTCTGACGATAAAATTCTGACGACTTTTGCTATACTGTAAGCCCTGTAGGCTGTGGGGACCTCAGGGCTTAAATCCCTCGACCCGAAGATCCAGGGGCTCCGACTCCGAAGCGAAGCCCTCAAACTCAAAAAGCCCTGAGCAGCTACTGTACACTAAGTCTCCACCCCCCCCCCCCC